GGTTGAATAATTTTGGACACAACTGTATGTACAAACGTAAAAACACACATCGGTGCGCCTACGCTTGGAAAAGTCAATTGCTATACTCATGTTACATATTGACAACACGCACAGCCGGAGAGTGAGTAATATTTCTAGCACCAGACCTTCCCCATAAAACCAAACTGATGACCTGCAGGGGACTTTTTGAAGCATCAGCTACAGAAAATATAGCGTACTGAAGTTTGTCGCCATTTCACAGGCGCACACAAATTTAAAGTTTGACATATTGATCTATTTACTCGGAGAAAACCTCATCTTTTTATACTTTATAAAAATTTTGGTAATTTATTGTGGTTTTGATTCCTAAAAGTTTACTAAAATGTTGCGTTTCCTAGACCTTTATGGTAATATCATGTGACATAAAAAATTGTAACTACCACTATTTTATTCTCTTGGGTGTCAGCTTTCAGAAAATATATATTGTTTGGGGGGTTTTCAGGCCTAAAACGATTTTTTTAAATTTGTGCAAAAAAAACGGCTCTGGCAGCTAAAGGGTTAAAGTTGATTAAAGAAAAAAAAAAAAACTGTGGAGGTCACACGTTTCCTGTCTAGAGTGGAGCTCCAATCTGAAACCAGATATCTTTAGAAAACCAGATGGAACAGGAAACATGTGACCTCCACTTCCTCTAGTTGTGTCTGTTGGTTGTTTTTTACATTAAAGTTCATTTAAACAAAGAACGTTGTAGTGGAGGTCACATGTTTCCTGTCAGAGTGCAGCTTCAATCTGCAGCCATTGGTTGTTACATTAAAGTTTATTTAAAAAAAAGGAATGGAGGTCATGTGTTTCCTGTTGAAGTAAAGCTCCAGTCAGACGATTGTAGTTGAAGGAGCTTCGACTGGAGACGCCGTTGGTAGTCATACGGTGTTAGGAAGCTCACAGAGCCGCCATGGCTGCCGTGCCGATGGAGAGCGGTAAGTGTGCGCTGAGTCCCTGTCTATAGACACCCCGGGTAGGAGGGCTGTCCTCTGCTCGTAGTACAGAGACCTTCCTACAGGTTATGTGTGTGGCCGTCCTCGCCGACTCCTAGCGCAGCGGGTTCCTCCATTACAGACTTCCTGTCTTCCCGGGGGGTGAGCAGAGGCTCAGACTGATCTCTTCTACCGGCCCTCCAGGTATCGGATCAGGATGGGCGCAGCCAGGGCATCGGATGTGTCATGGAGGAAAGGCATAGGCCCCCAAACCATTCTGTGTGTTCATTACAGGCAGGGCCGTCCCTAGCCAGGTGTGGGGGGTGCGTGCGTGCTGCACCTGGTGACACCTATTGCATGGGGTGACACCAGAATCGCTCCATGAAAAGGTACGTTTTAAAGCGAGCCGACGATCCTCGCCAAATGGATCGGATTGGGGAGCATAATGGATCAGACTCTGATCCATTATGCTCAAGCTGCAGATCTGATCCATCCTGTGGGGATCGTCGGCTACCTTTTTGGTGGAGATTGTGGAGACATCAGTTAACCCTGTATAGGTTGCACGTCGATCCTGTAGGATGGATTGGACGTGCGGATTGGGGAGGTTAACGGATCGGACTCTGATCCATTATGCTCAATCCGCAGATCTGATCCATCCTGTGGGGATCGTCAGAGGGGGTGTCCCCAAGTGTTCCGGCACCGGGTGACACCAACCCTAGGGACGCCCCTGATTACAGGTTTTACATTGAAGTCTGCAGAACATTCCAGCTGCGGTCAGTGTGGTGTGTGCTGTCCTGTACAGGCCTTGCATTGTGTACCGCCAGCTCCAGGTCTGTGCGGAGTACCGCCTTACTGTCACAGGGCCAGGGGAAGGAAACGATGGACATCCACCCTGCATTGTAGGTAGAGGAGGTGGGAGTGTGACCGAGGCCAGGAGCACCTGAGAGGGGAAGATTTGTGGGACTGCTCACCCCGCTGGAGGGAGCCATAAGGTGAGTATTACACCCTATTCCTCCACCCCTAGGTACAAACCTGGATTATCCTTGCAGTGGGGAGTTGAAAGATTGGACCGTTGAGAATAGTGGGAGCTAAACACGGGTTGGACCGTTGAGAAGAGTCGGAGCCGAACGCGGGTTGGACCGTTGAGAGCAGCAGGAGCAAAAGAGAATACTTTAGATCAGGCATGTCCAAAGTCCGGCCCGCGGGCCATTTACGGCCCGGGGTCGGTTTAATACGGCCCTCCAACAGCCCTCCCTGCTCTGTGTAATGTGGCCCTCCCACGGCCCTCCCTTCTATGGCAGTCTTCTGCTTGAGAGCAGAGGGCAGTGTGTATGCCTGACTGCGGCGCGTTCTCCCTGGTCTGTGTAAATGCGGCTGTCGCACGGCCCTCCCTTCTGTGGCAGACAGTCTTCTGCTTGAGAGCAGTGCGCATGCGTGACTGCGCCGCGCTGGGAGCGACAGAGGGCGGTGACGTCAGGGCCGGGCTTCCAGCGTGAAGTGTGTTTCTCTTCCCCTCCCGGCTGCCGAGCAGAGACTTCAGCTCCAGCTACCTTTTTCACCCTTCACATTAGTGCAGGTAAGTTTTTTTTAAATTTATTTTCAATACATTGTGAAAACTCAGCTGTCAGTTGATCTTAATGTTATGAAATGAAAAGTATGTTGTTTGCAATTAACTTGGCATAAAATAATTTATTTGCATTTAATTGTAATGGTTCAAAGAATGTTCGGAAAAATGTTCGGCCCTCCACCATGTTCACTTCATCCAATCTGGCCCTCTTTGAAAAAAGTTTGGACACCCTGCTTTAGATAGATGTGTGATAAACACAATATACTGTATGGAGAGGGGAAAAAAAATGATATACACTCTCCATATACATTATTTGATACCCACAGTTGATTCAGAGGAAGGCAAAAAACTTTGATAAAGCATGATCTAAATTGCTCCAGCTGGGAAAAAAATTCCTTCCTGATCCCATAAGAAGTAATCGGATATTCCCTGTATCAACTTTACGTATAAATATTCGTATTCCGGTATACGCTGCTTAAAAAAATTAAAGGAACACTTTGAAAACACATCAGATCTCAATGGGCAAAAATCTCATGCTGGATATCTATACTGATATAGACTGGGTAATGTGTTAGGAACATAAGGAAGCCCCATCGTTTGATGGAAATGAAAATTATCAACCTACAGAGGTCTGAATTCAGACACCCTGAAAATCAAACTGAAAAAATGATGCAGCAGGCTAGTCCATTTTGCTGACATTTCATTGCAGCAACTCAAAATGATATTCAGTAGTTTGGCCCCCACTTGCTTGTATGCAAGCCTTACAATGTCAGAACATGCTTTTAATGAGCTGACGGATGGTGTCCTGGGGTATTTCCTCCCAGATCTGGACCAGGGCATCACTGATCTCCTGGACAGTCTGAGGTGCAACCTGGCGGTGTTGGATGGACCGAAACATGATATCCCAGAGTTGTTCTATTGGATTTAGGTCAGGTGAGTGTGGGGGCCATTCAGTGGTATCAATTCCCTCATCCTCCAGGAACTGCCTGCATACTCTTGTCATATGAGGCCGGGCATTGTCGTGCACCAGGAGGAATCCATGACCCACTGCACCAGCGTAGGGTCTGACAATGGGTCCAAGGATTTCACCCCAATACCTAATGGTAGTCAGGGTGCTATTGTCTAGCCTGTAGAGGTCTGTGCATCCCTCCATGGATATGCCTCCCCAGACCATCACTGCCCCCCACCCCCCACCAAAAACAGTCATGCTGAATGATGTTAAAGACAGCATAACGTTCTCCACGACTTCTTCAGACCCTTTCACGTCTGTCACATGTGCTCAGGGTGAACCTGCTCTCATCTGTGAAAAGCACAGGGCGCCAGTGGTGGACCTGCCAATTCTGGTGTTCAATGGCAAATGCCAATCGAACTCTATGGTGCCGGGCAGTGAGCACAGAGCCCACTATGTTGGACCCTCAGGCCACCCTCATGCAGTCTTTCTGATTTTTTGGTCAGATATTCACACCAGTGGCCTGCTGGAGGTCATTTTGTAGGGCTCTGGCAGTGCTCATCCTTTTCCTTCTTGCACAAAGGAGCAGATACCGGTCCTGCTGATGAGTTAAGGACTTTCTGTGGGCCTGTCCACCTCTCCTAGAGTGACTGCCTGTCTCCTGGAATCTCCTCCATGCTCTTGAGACTGTGCTGGGAGACACACCGAACCTTCAGGCAATGGCATGTATTGATATACCATCCTGGAGGAGTTGGACTGCCTGTGTAACCTCCTTAGGGCCCAGGCATCGCCTCATGCTACCAGTCTTGACACTGACCCTAGCCAAATGCAAAACTAGTGGAAACCAGTCAGAAAAGAGGAGTAGGGAAAAAATGTCAGTGGCCTCCACCTGTAAAACCATTCCTGTTTTTGTGGTCGTCTCATTGTTGGCAATTTAGTGCACCTGTTGTTAATTTCATTAACGCCAAAGGAGCTGAAACTGATTAAGAACTCCCTCTGCTACTTAACTGACCAGACCAATATCTCAGGAGATGTAATTGACTTGATGCTATACTCTGATTCCAAAGTGTTCCTTTAATTTTTTTTAGCAGTGTGTTTTGTGTGTCTAGGAATAAAACAATCTACTGAGCTGGCCAGAATCAGTGAGTTGTGAGAGCGTCTAGTCCACAGTCCACATTTTTACAGCTCTTACTATGAAGAAACCTTTCCCTATTTGGGGGTTAAAACTCTTTTCCTTCAGACGTAAAGAATGCCCCCTTGGCCTCAGTGATAACCTTAAAATGAATAACTCTACACTGAGTTCACTATAAGGATCACTTATGTTTTTTACATGTTCATCATATCCTCCCTTAATCTCCTCTTCTCAAGAGGGAATAAATTCAGTTCCTCATAGCTGCGCTCCTCCAGTCCTCTTATCAGTTTTGGTCTTCTGCACTTTCTTCAGTTATTCAATGTTTTGTTTTGGGTTTAATACCGCTTGAAATTAGTATCAAACATATGTAAGTAATACTGACATTTCCTTTATATTTTCTTTCAGATGAGCAAGCCCGATATCGGTTCCAGTTGGAACTGGAGTTTGTTCAGTGCCTGGCAAATCCTAATTACCTTAACTGTAAGTATATTATGGAAATGGTTTCTTAGTTGGGTCTATTTTGTTAATCTACAAATCATAAAGCTGTGAAGAAATTAAAACCTAATTGCATTCAAGATATGACCCCCACCCATCCTGCAAGGTTTATTGTTCTTGCCTGGTGAAGCAGGTCCCTTGCTGGTGTTGTTTGTTGGTACGGGGGACCATAAGGATGATCACTCACCGATCCCCTTGAGGATGTCACTTCTCTTCTGGATATTGAGAGGAGACTGCTGCTGGACAGCCAATAGGAATTGTCCACGTCACGCAAGCCGTGACATGGACTTCCCAAGAAGGACACTGCCAGAAGGAAACAAAAGAAAAGGCTTTGGATTGTAGTGCCATATGACTGTGGCTTTAGGTAACTATAAAAGGCATTTAGTTACGGTTTTTATCCAGAGATCAGTTATAGGTGAGTGGTAGAAGGGCTATCTTGACCCCGGAGATGGGCTTTAAGTTAGTGCAGAATGTATTATCCTGTAACGGCTAAATTTTTTAGTATGCCAAAATTAGATCAGTAAAAGCCAAGTTCTGCTTGGTTGTCTTGTATTAGTGCAATTTTTTCTTTGTCATTTTTAATGACTTTTTGTGTGCAAAATGCCATTGCAGCCTTTTGAAAATGCTAGTTGTCTGACAGTTAAATGGCTTTTTTATGTTCTGAGTCACTGAACCGTGCATGGTTTTATAGCCAAACATAAATTTTTTAATTGTAGACCGCTTGTAAGGGTTAGACCCTCTGTCAGGTTATTATTGTCTGTGTTTCGGTTATGGAAAATTTGCCATTTGTTCTTCTGGGGGACCACTGAAGTTTGGGAAATTTAAAATCTACATTTTTTTTATATTGTCACTTGATAAAGGGGCACTGGGAATATCTTTCAGAGGGTAAATCTACGAGTGGGGACTCTTTTTCATGAGTCTTTATCTGCTTTGGGCAGGTTCACACCATGACACAGTATGCCACCCTGAACAGGTATTGCTCCTATATCTTTTGTACACTGCTGATTTTGCTATTTTGTTTATGAAGTTCTATTCCATACTGAATGTATGATCATGTTATTGATTGTATCCTTCTCTTTAGTCCTAGCACAGAGGGGATTCTTCAAGGACAAGTCATTTGTTAATTATCTGAAATACCTTCTTTATTGGAAGGATCCTGAATATGCAAAATATTTAAAGTAAGTGTAAAATCCATTAGTACTTTTATAATTTTGTATGTGTAGTTACTTTATTTTGCATTATTTGTGTTGATGAAATTGTCAGTAGCAAAGTGAGATAGCATGGATAAAAAGATGGCTCATGTCTGTCACAACCAAGGCTGCTATTGCCTGATTACTGAAAGTTGTGCATTTTCCAGGGTAGAGTACATTCTGTTGTATCACCCACTGGGATGTCCCTGCACCAGATCTAGAGTTATGCAGTGTCAGTTAATTGGAAAGGAGCAGACTAAAACAGATGGGTCAATCTCACTCAGCCTTAAGAGGGCTATGCATGTCTCGAATTCAGGTGATTGTTGCTGAATTGACCAAATTTGAGCCACAGGGGGACCCTGTTGGCATCATCCAGCTTGACCAAAGTCAATTTAAAGGATGGTTTACCTTTCGGAGAGATAGGGTAAAAAGGAAAGGTGGTGATGTCTGTCTCTATTTGAGAAGTGATCACAGAGCGAGTGTGAAAGAGGACCTAGTTGATGGAGAGTGTGAGGAGGCTGAAGCATTATGGGTGGAACTGCACATGGGGGTGCGTACTACAAAGGTAATCATTGAGGTTTGTTATAGGCCTCCCAGTCTTAATGAGGAGGTGGAGACTCAGCTCCTTGCACAGATCGAAAGGGATGCAAGGGCTAGTACAGTGATAATGGGTGATTGTAACTACCCGGAAATTGACTGGAGTAATGGTACTGCAGGAACAGTTAAAAGGGCAAAAATATATAAACCTACTACAAGACAATTTTATGGTACAGTTCATAGAGGCCCCAACTAGGAATGATGCTCTGCTGGACCTGGTAATCTCAAACCAGGCAGAGCTTATTACGAATGTCCATATAAAAGAGCATCTGGGTAGTAGTGACAATAACATGATTTCATTTGTTAGCTGTAAACAACAAGCACATACGGGAAAAATAAAAATGCTCAACTTTGAGAGCTAATTTTCCAAGACTTAGATTGCGAGGGAATATTGGCATCGATAAACACAACACAGAAATGGGAGTTCTTCCAAAAGACCGTGAACACACTGCAAAATATATTCCCATGGGCAACAACTTTAAAGGGCTAAAAATCAAACCTATGTGGCTTACGGCCAAAGTTTAAAAAAAAAAAAAAAAAAAAAAAAAAAGCTATAGATAATAAAAGAGCTTTTATTAAATATAAAAATGAAGGAACACTATCATCATTTAAACATTACAAAGAATATAACAAAATATGTAAAAAGGAAATAAAGGTTGCAAACATTGAAAACGAACGACAAATTGCAAAACATAGGACAAACCCCCAAAAAGTCTTCAAAATTAGTAGTAAAATGGTTCGGTCCAAGCATGTAGGCCCTTTACAAAATAATCTAGAGTGGGTGACTGAGGACAAAGAGAAGGCAAATTTATTAAATACCTTCTTCTGCTCTCAGGAGTGTGAAAATGTTTTAAATAACTACTTGTCCAGGGACTAAATCGGGCCCCAATATACGTGTCTCTTATGACAATCTACTTGTCCTGAAAAAAAATAATTTTTTTTCAACCAAAAACGTATATAAATCGGAGGTGATTTTAGGAATGTCTCTGGCTTTTAAAAACAAAAGGGGCTTTATTGCGACTTAAACTTGTAATATTTTTAACATTGTGTTGTTTTATCATCTCCTCCTCCCCTCCGTCTGTCTCCAGCACCACACCCGGGGACTAGTAGGGAGGGGAGCGACCTTGCAGTGTAATGAGCACTGATTGGCTGCTCGTCAGGAAAGGGGGGGGGGGGTCAGGGCTTATACTTTATCCCTTTCACTCCCAGAGTTGTTTTTGCGTTTTCGCTGCAGAGCCATTTTTGCGTTTTTTGCACACATTTTAAATCATTTTAGGCCTGAAGATTACATAAAACCCCCAAACATTTTATATGTTCTGAAAGCAGAGACCCTAGAGAATAATATAATGGTAGTTCCAATTTTTTTATGTTACATGATTATACCGCAATATTTTATTAAAAAATATAAGTTAATTAATAATGTTAATTTTAGGGCACAAAAAAGCAATAAATTACCCTATTTTTTTGTAAAATATAAAAGATGATGGTTGCAGCGAGTAAATAGATATCCAACTTGTCAAACCTTAAAATTGTGTGTGCTCGTGAAATGGCAACAAACTTCAGTACCCTATATTTTCTATAGGTTGACACTTTTGAATCTCCTTATAGGTCACCAGTATAGTGTACAGAGGAGGTCTGGTACTAGAATTATCACTCTTATCCTTGCGTGCGCAGCGATATGTAACGTGTATCGCAATCGACGGTTTCATGCGTAGGCGCCCTAGCGTGTGCTTTTACGTTTGTGCGTGCGTATATGTGGGGGCCTTAATATTTTTTTGGGGGGGATGATATGTGCTTGGGTGTAACTTAAATTTTTTATTTTTGGTGACAGGTTCTCTGAGACATCCAAGATCTATAAGACCCTACATGTCACCCTTCTGCTCTACTGAATGTAATGTGGTACACATTGCACCATATTACATTCTTTCCCGGGGATTGTATTGCAGTCTATCATCGGGGACCTGGAAGTGATGTAACTTCCGGGTCAGCACAAGAAGGGGAGGAGAAGTTGACCTGTCCGCTCTTCTCCCTCCCCTCTAGCCGATGGCGAACCAGGCCTGCAGATGGGCAAGCGGAGCCCAGGAAGCCTCACGCCAGGGGAGCGGAGAGGCTGGCACTGTGGAAAAGCAATCGGCGGCAGCGCTGCCACCGATTGCTGCACCTGACAGGTGAGCCCGCTGCTTGCCCACAGCAGGGCTAAAGGAGGGAAAAAACAACCTGCCCGGTGCCCGGAACTACTTATCTCAGGCATCAGGTGATAGGAATCCAACATCCCTGAGCTAGGTGTATACAAAGGAGCATGGGGGAGCTCTTTTCCATAATGGGCATGATATTGATACAGCCCTAGATGATCCACATTGGCTCACAATTGATATGATCCAGAAATATTTAAACAGAATAAAGGTGAATAAAGCACCTGGACGGATGGCATACACCCACGGGTTCTTAAAGAATTGAGCTCGGTCATTTTAAGGCCATTGTTTCTGATTTTTAGGGACTCTTTACTGACTGACATAGTACTACTGGATTGGCTTTAAGCTAATGTGGTGTCTATATTTAAAAAGGGGTCAAAATCTTTACCAAGTAATTATAGACCTCTTAGTTTAAGCAACAGACAGCATGGATTAATGAAAGACAGAAGTTGTCAAAACAAATCTGATTTCTTTTTATGAGCAGGTGACCAAAACCTTGGATAGAGAGGTGGACGTGGTATACTTCCCACATTGCTAATGTGTAAGGTAAAGTCTACAGGCTTGGAAAAACCAGTATGTAGATGGATAGAAAACTGGCTAAAATATTGTATTCAGAGAGTAGTGGTTAATGATTCATACTCTGAATGGTCTAGGGTTGTCAGTGGTGTACCCCAAGGTTCAGTGTTGGGACCCTTACTTTTTATTATATTTATAAACAATATAAGGTCTGGGATTAAAAATACAATTTCAGCCTTTGCAGATGACACCAAGCTGTGCAGTGGACTAATGTCCTTACAGGATGTCTGCAATTTACAAGCCAACCTCAATGCACTGTTTAATTGGGCAACTATGTGGCAGATGAGGTTTAATGTTGATAAATGTAAGGTTATGCATGCATCATACATACTAGGGGGAGTACAACTGGAATCAATGGTGGAGAAGTATCTGGGAGTTCTGATAGCTTAATAATGGCATGCAATGCCAAAGTGTGGTTTGTAAAGTGAGCAAAATCCTCTCGTATTAAAAGAGGTGTACACTGCAGAGAGATACTATTTTACCCCTGAACAAACCATTAGTAATACCTCATCTGAAATATGCAGTTCAGTTTTGGGCACCAATTCACAAAAAGAACATTGTGAAAAAGACAATTCACAAAAAGAACAAAATGCAGAGAAGGGCAACCAAACTGATAGGAGGCATGGAGGAGATGAGGAAAGATTAGAGAAACTGAATTTATTCTCTCTTGAGAAGAGGAGATTAAGGGGGATATGATCAACATGTATAAATACATCAGTGGTTCATATAGTGAACTCTGTGTAGACCTATTCACCCTGAGGTCATCACAGAGGACAAGGGGGCACTCTTTACATCTGGAGGAAAAGAAATTCAATCTCCAAACATGGAAAGGTTTCTTCAGTGAGAGCTGTGAAAATGTGGAATAGACTCCCTCAAGAGTTGGTTCTGAACAACTCAGTGGATTGCTTTAAAAAAAAAAAAGGCCTGTATTCTTTCTTGAATACACAAAATATAACTGGATACTAACATTTTATTGGTAAAGTTGATCCAGGGAATATCCGATTGCCTCTTGGTGGATCTGGAAGGAATTTTTTCCCCTGCAGGAGCAATTTGGATCATGCTTTGCTGGTTTTTTTGCCTTCCTCTGGATCAACTGTGGGTGTAGAACTTTTTTTTTTTTTTTCTTTTTTCATGGTTGAACTGGATGGACTTTTGTCTTTTTTCAGCCAGACTAACTATGTAACCTTTACCAAAAAGCACACTATAAAAATTTAGTAATTGATATGTGGCACTTCCTAAAGACTCAGTATATCAACTGTGTATACATAAATTCTAAATAAAATTCATATAGCAAACATCCGTGAACAGTATAATCCCAAACGCATGAATAAAAAGTCTATTGCTAATTATTGTGATGAAATCTAAAAGTCCCAATCCAATATTTTGTGATATCAGTGTTTAAAAGATAATTTTCACCTTTTTAGTAAAAAAAAAAAAAAAAATAAATGCACATTTTATTTTATTTTTTTCAGGTAAAAAAAAATGTGCATTTATTATTTTTGTCTGCAGGAGCTTGTAAACCATTGCACCAGCAATCAGCGATCAGAAAATCGGTGGTGCCATGCAGGTCTCCTGCAGATCTGTCAATATATCTGCTTTCCCATACAGGATGTATGAGCAAGC